ATGCCCCGGCCGTCCCCTCCCCGAAAATCAGGTGAACGTTAGCCCGCGGGGCACGCTTCACACTTTGTCCATACGACCCCACGATATGATCTTACCCTATCCTGAAACTGTCAGTGGCGTCGCATCTCCTGAAATATCGCTGGAGGTTTGTTACACTGTTCGTTTAGTTTCTAGTGTGGATGGTTGAGAGATCCAGATCATTTTTTGTTCCCGCTTGCGAGAGCTGGCCTGGGGCAACGTCGGAGATCCGGAAAGATGGCTGAGGACATTACTGAAATGCTCGGTCAAAATCAGAATCTCCAATTCCTCCGTGAGAATTGTTGTTCTATCGGAGCTGGGCAGTCAACCGGTTCGATTCGCGTGTTGGCCCCAAGATTCCTTAAGGGAGCTGAAAGGGGGTGTTCATTGCGTTTTGGCCCACGTACTTCGGATCTTCTAGGCCTTCCGAGCCACCCAGACGTACTGCATCTTCCGCAGTCGTTTCTACAGAAGACCGGGAAGCCTGAAGAAAGCCACTTTGTGATCATCGGCCAGGCGGTCGATGTATGCTTTGTGCAGTCTATACTTCTTGGCAATAAGGGTGCTGATATCCGCGTCGTGGTCATCAAGTCAGTCCACATTGCAGTCGGAACCCCTTCGTGGAGATGACAAGGTAGTGATCTTTCCAGCCATCAGCGTTGCAGATCGCCCTCGCCCCCAGCACTTTAAGTTGATTTCGGCTCCGGACGAGAACGTAGTCTAGAATAAGGAAAGAAGGCCCGTCAGAAAATAAAGTGTTACTCGTGAATTTTCAAGCTGGTGAAAAGTGCGTGTTGAGATTGTCGTACCAGAGGGTTTGGGGCCGGGGGGAGGGCTCAAGGTGATGCGAATCCTGCTGCGATAGGTGCTGCAAGGGTGAGGGGGTATAAACATTTTTGTTTTGCGCCACGTGTCGGGGCGGGGAGGTGCAGAATCAGTGAACTCCTACCTGGTCGAGCACCGGGTGGACTGTTGTTGTTTCGCGCTGGGCGCAATTTAGTGGACCATGCGCACGAAACCGGCATAATGTGAATCGAGATCCACTTGCCTGTTGATGCTGTTTGGGCCGGAGTGCCGAGCTTCAAGAAATTCTCTTGCCTGTTTTTTGTTAGCCGTGACGACCACTTCAGTTCCGTCGCAATTGAAGCGGTGGCTATAATTAATAGCGTGCGTAAACACGAGAGACACTGAATCACGTCTTGGGATGGCCAGC